GAAGCATCCTCTATTCTTTCCTGTCATGATCTTTCTTCTTCTTTCAAACTGTAGTGCAATCAACAGTCATGTACACACATGAATACTTTTCATGTCTCCTGCTCAGAAATGATAAAACCATTTAGCTTCAGCCTATCTGGTGCAGCAGAAATAAAACTTAGCTTAGTGAGGTCTTTCTCTGACAAAACCATCTTTAGAAGAAATTAAGATTAGTATATACCACATCCTATTTCATCTTCATTATCTTCACAGTCATCATCCCCATCACAGATCCAGCTCTGATGAATGCAGCGGCCACTGGAGCAAGTGAAAAAGTTGCCTCTGCAAGTCGCGTAAGCTAAGAAGAGAAACACCAGTAAATCAACACACTTCAAGTGACAAAAACATCTGAAATGGTCTGAAAGATTAATAGTCATTTACAAATGACTACTAAAAACTCCTTAAAAAAGAGAGTGCCAGTTTCAAATGTCATATGTACTGTTAACATGGCTGTTTTGTTCTGCTTTTAAGTAGGAAATTTATTTTAGAGTACTGTGATTCTTTATAGAAATGAAAAGAAATGCTACATTTTTCTATTAATTGTGAAACCAGACGCAAGGCACCTTATTACCAAGGTTTGTGAAGGTGAGCCTAATGAGAGGTACTCAAAGTAAGGATATTTGTACTACAGAGAACCATAAAGAGCATATAACCATAAATATTGATGTCAGGGCCCTGTATTGTTGGGAGGCATTCCCTAACGTATGGGTTTAGAGACATTTCTGGATCCTCCAAGAGCCAAGTAAACCTACAGAAATAAAAGAGGAATATTCTGAGGGGAGAAGTTATGTCGGTAGAACAACCGCCTGCTTTTCTTTTTGTGTCAGAAAGCAATTGTTACCGTATTCAGCATTCTCAAACAGCAAACAAACATCGAGGCAATTTGCGGCCAATCTGACTTGGAAAACATCTGTCAAAGCATAGGTGATAACTTCATCTTTCCATGTAGAACATGGCATAGAATTCTATGGCTGTCTAGCCAGATGATCTACTTTTTTCGCTCTCTAGTGTACACTTGAACTAGTTCTTAGTTAAATAATTAATGAAGCTAAATAAAGCCATCATACTGCAAGATATTTCATCACTCCTGTCTCCGCAGTCGTCGTCATGGTCACAGATAAAGGCTCGGGGAATACATTCTCCATTAGCACACTGGAACTGCGTAGTGGCACATCCGTGTGCTGAAAGAGATTTGAGTACAAAGAGAATTTGTTAAAAAGCTACGTTTACCTTGAAAAGAGAATCTATAAAGTATATTTGGAATCACCCTCTAAGTGGTACTTACTGCAGTTGGCTTCATCAGAAGAATCTCTGCAATCCACTTTGCTGTCACATCGCTGGCTTGCATTAAAACATGCTCCATTTGCACAAGATAACTGTTCACATGTTGGATAGCCTGCATAAGAAATCCTTTCACATTAGTACAAATATTAGAGTGTAGAGAATAATGATTATTAAGCCACACATATTTATTGCTAACGGTATATCTGGATTTACAGAAAAAAAAAAAAA